GGGATAAAGCTGCTGATCGCCGCTTCTCTATATCTACTCTTGCGAGCAGTGCGACGTTTCCAGATTGTGGAGGCCATCTTTGATAGTCTGATAATGTAATTGGTAGCTTCGAAAGGATACTTAAGAAACGTACGAAGATATTGTTTGTCAGCTACAATTATTTAAATCTGATCAATTAACTACTTCCATGATATCTAGTGATCCGCTGGGTAACCCGCACGGGTGTTACGTATCTTGAAAAGTGACATTTCGTATTTTTTTTGACATTTCGTACTTTTTTTGACATTTCGTACGTTTTTCTACAAGATGCTAACTTAGCAGAATCTGTTTTAGACTTGTTATGAACTCGTTTTGTTGCTGTACGGGTTGCTTAAACGTCAGCGAACAGCGATTATACAAAGAAATCGTGGACTGAACTTTTTGCACACTAAAAACTACCTATTCTGCAAGATGGCATTTCGTCGGATTTTTTTGACGTTGTTTGGGTTACTTTATTTAAACTAATTACTCAAAAATGTATTTTTTGCTCCAGCCAAATTTCTTTCAACTTTTTCGGATCATTCCGAATAAAAAAGGTTCTCAGTCACCTTTTTCTAAAGTTGTCCGTTTTCGAGTTATAAACGTTTTGATGTCTCAAAAATCACAAAATTGAGCTTCTTTCTTATTAAATTACAATTTTGGGGTTTCCAACAATGCCAGTCAAAGGTAAAACCTTTCCCTACTAGACCCGGGAGAGCATCTAAGGTTGGTTTATTTGTAAAGCAGCTTGTAGGTAACATTGTTTATCAGGCCAAAATTAGCGAACTTTTGAGTTTCGCAGACTGTGATGGAGAAGGCCATTGTTGGCATAGCACACTTTTCCACCAAGGTATGTAATGGACCATTCCGCTAATGACCACTGTTATCATAATACAAGTAAACAGTTCCATATATAGACAGCCAGAGAGAGACAGTGGCATGAAGGGAGTCAGGGATACTGTAATGCGGATGAACCGCGTAAATACACATCAACACAACAGAACATCGCGAGGACTATAGAGAGGGGCCTGGTTGGGAGGAAGGAAGGGTGTATAGGTATAGGCAGAGAGAGCGAGCTTAAAGCTTTGCATAAGCCCCATCCAAACACTTGCCGGTAAAGCTGATAAGCTGGCGGGCTTAGCTGGCCGAAAGCTAATCATAATCATGCTGTAATTAGCGCTGTGCCGCTTCGCCCTTTTGGCCGATCCGCAGGGTGTCGCTGTTGTGCTACTATAGTCGCTGTGACGTTATGTTGTTTTATGTGGTGTGTGTTTAGCAAGACGTCACTACTAATACAATGGCCAAAGCATGCTTGACGGAAATAAGAGGATTTTCATATGTAGGACTGTTTAAGTGTCATGTATGGTGGTAAGAATTTGTGTGCTTTTGATCAAGATAACAATGGTAACAAGGACTAGATTAAATGTACGTTGGTAGATTTTTTGATTCTTATAAGGGGATTCAAAGTCTTATGAGATACGAGGGGTACCCAAAGAAACCGGAATAATTTTTTAAAAGCTATTTATTTTCAACTTTTTCACAAAGTAACCTTATCTCCTTCAAAATACAGTCCACTACAACTAATACACTTGTCCCACCGGTGCTTCCACTGCTTGAAAATTTTTTGAAGTCTTCCTTAGAAATGTCTGATAGCTCCTCAATCGTTTTTTTCTTGACCTCTTCAATGTCGTCAAAGCGACGTCCTTTCATGTCCCTTTTCATCCGTGGGAATAAGGAAAAGTCGCACGCAGCCAGGTCAGGCGAATAAGGTGCGTGAGGCAGCGGAACCATGCCATTTTTAACCAGAAACTGTCGAACAGAGGTAGCTGTGTGCGCAGCTGCATTATCGTGGTGGTAGAACCAGTCTCCTGACTGCCACAAATCGGGTCTTTTTTGCTGATCACTGTTTCGCACTCGTCTTAAAGCCTCCAAATAAAATGTTAGATTGACAGTGTGGCCTGGGGGAACAATCTCGGAATGGTCTAAGCCTTTGACTTAAAAAAACAAATCAGCATGTTTTGATGTTTGATTTGACTTGGCGACTTTCTTTTTTTTGGACGGTGTGATGATGGCGTCTTCCATTGACTTGACTGTTGCTTCGTTTCTGGGCCATAACCGTAGTACGAAGTCTCATCACCAGTGATGAACTTTGACAGAAAATTTGCATCAGATTCAAGCTGTTTCAAAGCACGACATGTTTCAACCCGGTATTCAACCCCTTTTTGATTGTCAGCCAGAGCTCGAGGAACAAACTTGCCATCAATCTTTTTCATTCCAAAATCTTCTGTTAAAATTCGCTGAACCGAATTCCAGGACAAACTACTACTCACGGATAGTTGATTGATTGTCAGTCGACGGTCTGCAAGCACAGGCTCTCGATTTTTTCAACATTTTCGTCGATTCGGGCGGTTGATGGACGTCCAGGGCGAGGTTTGTCATCAATCGACATGTCGCCATTTTTAAATCGAGCAGACCATCTGTACACCTGAGTTTTTCCCATAGCATCATCTTTGTAAGCTATTTTAAACATTAAAACAGTTTCAGCAGCATTTTTGCCATTTCACTCCTGCTAGCAAAAATTATGACTACATAGGAACCAAACACACTTCTTTTTCGAACACATTAAACTCAAGCAGTCAGACAAATTTGGTTTTTCCCAATCTTTTTTTGAGGGTCCTGTCTTTCATCTGTCTCAATTAGGATTAGAAATAATATGTGAGGACGCGGGTCTCTCAGTACTCGAATATGCACTGCGTTAAAAGTGGAGCACAAGGCGATCCGTTACGCTCTTCCATTTTGGTAGTTGACTGAATATACATGGTGATTAAAAATAATGACAATAATCCTAGAGTAGGTAAAAAATAGCATGGGAAGGTCATATAAACAACGCCCTTTCACCAAATTCCAAGCTACTCAGGGTGTCCCAAAAGTTGCGGATCAAACGAAAAGTTATATATATATATATAGGTGAAAAAATTAAAGCTTCCGCCTTTTGTTGGGTACTTCGACAAGAATTAAGCAAAGAGGACTCTTTATACTTTTTTTAATTCTCTCTAGCTTTCAATGGACTTTGCCATCATCATCAGGAGCTGCAATTACAATGATAACAGTAGCAACAAAGGTGTAAAATGAATTTGAATTGACTCAACTTACAGTAGTATGTGAGGATGTTGCTAATTGTTGTTTACGTATAAGATGAGGGAAACGTCCAGTAACATGGTGAGAGCTGAATAGATTGCACAATAGTCAAAATTTATACAAAACATGACAAGAACAAGTTAAAAACAGATTAAAAATTATTTAAAAAATTAGAGCACTACATCGTGAAACCACCTGATGATTGCACAAATTAGTGGTCATGGAATGATGAATTGATGAGTGACATGAAACCCTTTGACAGAAGGCCGAAGGATGTCAATGTCAGTATTGAAGGATGGAACGAATTGTGGGCGTGTGCCAAAACGTTGCCAAATCACTTCAGATGATGGCTTCGGCCTTCTGTCAAAGGGTTTCATGTCACTCATCAATTCATCATTCCATGACCACTAATTTGTGCAATCATCAGGTGGTTTCACGATGTAATGCTCTAATTTTTTAAATAATTTTTAATCTGTTTTTAACTTGTTCTTGTCATGTTTTGTATAAATTTTGACTATTGTGCAATCTATTCAGCTCTCACCATGTTACTGGACGTTTCCCTCATCTTATACGTAAACAACAATTAGCAACATCCTCACATACTACTGTAAGTTGAGTCAATTCAAATTCATTTTACACCTTTGTTGCTACTGTTATCATTGTAATTGCAGCTCCTGATGATGATGGCAAAGTCCATTGAAAGCTAGAGAGAATTAAAAAAGTATAAAGAGTCCTCTTTGCTTAATTCTTGTCGAAGTACCCAACAAAAGGCGGAAGCTTTAATTTTTTCACCTAACTGGTCTAGACGACAATGACCACGTCTCAAGTTATATATATATATATATATATATGATATCTCAATTTTAAAGAATTTGTATGTCGCCACCAGTAGGTGCACCTGTTATGAAATTTTTTTCTGAACTCATATTTTGTCGTTTCTCAATCAGCTGAACTGTAAATGTTGCTGATTAACGTATAGTTGATTAGAATGTACCATTAACAAATTAGCCCAGTCAATATGCCTCACCGTTGCACATCATTCTGACCTTTTAGAGTAAGTAGTAATGCTGCGCTTGCATTATTGATGATTTAAAATGCGATGAGCGATGTGCCGACATCCCAAAGGCATAGCGCTGTTTATCTAAAGGCAATGCAACATACAACAATGGCAAGGTGGCAATATTTTGGATCACGAAATAAACAAAAGATGTCTTTCAGCTCGACCACGTATTATTTTTGGATTACCCTCCATGCAAACAGGACGTTTCTCCGGTTCCATCCTAACTACCTATACTTCAAATATGTAATTGCTAAGTAACAATAATATTGACTTTGGACTTGACAGTATAATTCTATTTTCTCAAAAATGCCTCGTGTTTTTAAAAAAGAACGATACCGTTTACGGCGTAGATATCAGGATACCGGGGAAACGTCCTGCTTGCATGGCGGAGGTATCAAAAAAAATACGAATCCGAACCGAAGGCAGCAGCGGTGGCCGCAGTAGTAGACTCTTCGGTCTCCTGATCAGTCGCCGTGCGCTGTGCGGGTTCGAGTCCCGTCCCAGGAGAAATTTTTCTCTTGGCTATGGATGTTGTGATTGTCCGTAGGTGGTAGACGGTCTCTGACTGTCGAACTCGGAGGTACCACCCGGCGGATCTCGTATGCGGAGCCAGAATGTGTGCATGTTGCATGCACACGTGTTACCTCGCCAGAGTCCGTGTGGCGTTCCCCCTTTCCCATGTATCCCCCTATAGCCCCACGGTACCCAATGGGTACTTAGGCCTTAGGCCTTCGTGGTAGTTTGAGTATAAAATAAGACATTTATTGCAGGAAGTAATGAATGAATACATGCGGGGCCGTAGTGGAATAATAGCATCCAATCGTACTGTAAGAACTTCTAATTTGTTAAGGTATGTAAATGTTATAAAAAATTTGCTAAATACTTTTTTAAAGTAGGATTTCTTCCATAGGCGTAGCGCCAATAATATAGATACCAATGGGCACAGGAGCAGGTAAATTGGCATCAGGAGTGGCAAAATTGCATGTTTTCCGATGAAACACGTTTCAACCTACACCACTCTGATGGTAGGGTCCTTGTTTGGAGGCAAGCTGGGGAACGATATGATGAAGAAAATACGGGTCCACAAGAGGCGTTTGGTGGAGGTTGCATTACCGTTTGGGCTGGAGTTGTGAACAATGGGAAAACTGAACTTTTTATTTCAAACAGGATAGTCGATGCTGCAGTTCATAGGGACAACATTTTAAACAATATCGTTGTACCTTTTGCACAAGATGGGGGGGGGGAGGATTTTGTCATCATCGATGATAAGACTAGGCCGCACAGAGCTCTTACGGGTATAAACTTTTTGGCAAAAGATAGGTACATTACTGCCTCTGCCATCAAAGTCTCCAGACTTAAACATAATTGAGCATGTATGGTCTCGACTAAATTTCTTAGTGCAGTCAAGACAAAATGCTCCTTAAACAATGGATGAGCTGTTTGAGGCCACTCAGGAATAGTGGGAAAAAGCTAACCCGAGGTTTTATTATTTATCAATCACCTTCTGAAAAGTATACCACTAAGAAGCCAGGCTGTAATCGATGTGCGGGGTAGCCCTAGAAGGTACTAACAATATTGTTTAGAATAACTGTTTCTGTTTTGTAAAAAGTTCGTTTTTGTCATCATAGCATTTTGAAAAATAGAAATTAGCACTTCTTACCAAACCAAAGGATGCTTTTGGTGTTAAGCCATTGGAATGCACCCCTATGTTAAGAGTAGCAACTTGGATTTGTTCAAAGCTGTTTTATTGCATAGTAAAATTTATAAATTCGGTTTAAATTACATAATGTCAAAGTAGCCACGCCGCTGGAGGTTATTACGTTGAATTGGGCTTCAATCTTTTATCGCGCGCAAGAAATTCCACTTTATACAACAGTATGACAAAAAATGCCCATTCTCAAGAGAAACCACAAAAAACGCTTATTTAAAATTCGATAATTTGAGTTATAGCTAACTTTATAAAAATTTGTGAAATTACTAATTTTAGGATAGCCCAAAGGTCAAAAAGGTGCATAGACAAACTCCCACGATCAAAACATGGGAATGTGAGATACCCCCAAACTTTGCTAAAAAACCTGGCTTCCTTTGCACATCCTGTATAAGTGGATAAATAAAAAAACATATACCGGTCGAACCCAATAACCTCCCAAATTGCGCTACTCGATATCTCTCTTCGTTCCGAAAATATCGAAATTCGAATTTGGGTAAAATTTTGTATGTCCACCAGCTTATATCTTGGTAACCACTAGAATAACGTGAGCCACTGACCAGATAAACAGAACGTGCAACATTGCTCCGATATTTATTTCAAATTTTTGTAACAATATCGAGCAGGTCGTGCCAAAGTAGTGCGAAAGTGTAGTGGAACCACCAGAGATTAGGCATACGTATTGGTAATCTACACTCTTGCGTTAACCTTCTCCGAAAGGTTCACTTGGAAGGTGTCACCTGGCGCTGGCTGATAGACAACCACAGATATAATCAAAAATCGCATAGGCGGAACACAGGGGAGAGTTAGGTACAGAAGCTCAACCAAAACCTAAGAGGATCGGAGTGGCAAATGTCACACAGAGAGTCAGACATTGAGTCTGAATGAACATCAACTGACGACGGTAAAAGAAAAAGATTTACTGACAGAGGAGCTACAGTGTTCAAGAAAATCAAGAAAACCAGACGGTCCAGTCAAGGAAAAGCTAAATTATCATAAGGACGAAATGGAAGAAATAAAAGTATTTATGAAAACAATCATGCCTGATATACAACAAATGAGAAAGGAAAAACAAGAATTTAAGCAAGAAATGAGGACTTTGAAACAAGAGAATCAAGAGCTAACCCACGAAGTTGCAGAATTAAAGAAAAGAGTGATACAGTTAGAGATTATAGAAGTGAAGATCGAGCAAGATAATAAGATGAAGAGGAAGAATAATCTAGTAATAACTGGGCTGAATATTGAAGGCTCAGACAACGAAGGAAACTGCAAGAGCGTCGAGAAAGTACTATAGCAGCACCTAAAAGTGAAAACCAAGATAAACCGAGTGTCAAAAATTAAAAATGAACTACATGTTGTTGAGGTCGATAACTTCAAAAACAAATTAGATATCATGAAGGCTAAAGAGAAGTCCGATTACCTAAAACAAAATAAGGTATTCATAAATAGCGACCTAACCAAGAAAGAGCGAGTCATACGGAAAACAATTAGGGATCTGGCTGCTATAGAGAAAGCCAAAGGAAATGCCGCAAGAGTGGTTTACCAGTACATAATAATAAATGGAATAAAGCTTCGTGGAACAAAAAAGAAAACAAAATAGAAGAGATCGGAAACCCGATTAACATTCAGCAAGAGAATTCAAAAAACTAATACACAAACAAATTGCGGACGAACCGGAGACGACAAAGACACTGCAATTAGGAACTGGGAATATTCGGCACATAACAAATAAAGACACAGACCAAGATATAACATATGATTCAACTACACAAAAAAGGACACTTTTTAAAACAAACGGTAAAATATGCAATATAGGAACCTGAAATGTAAAAAGCATTAGAGGTAAAGAAAAGGAACTGACTCACAAGTTTGAAAAAGCTAAACAAGATATCTTGGGCATTTGTTAAACAAAGAAGAAAGGTCAAGGAATGATCGAACTTGATGGGCGACACATATTAGTGTACTGCGGGGTCCCAGTCGACCAAAGGGCTCGAGAAGGAGTCGGCTGCATGATCAGAGCAGAATATGCTAATTGTCTGAAATGGGACTGCGTCTCGGAAAGAATTTTAAGGTTAGGAATCCAACTTATAGGAAAAAACCTATACTACCATAATAATTACAAACGATCCTTGTGAAGATTGAAAAAACGCAGTAAAAAACGATAACTGGGAAGATTTACCGGAAGTTGTAGATAATGTCGGAGGAAGACTTCTGATAATAGGGGATATGAACAGCAGAGTAGGTAAGAGAACCTGCGATTCACTAGAAGAAGTAGGGTTATGTGGAGAAGAGCATAGGAATAATAATAGCCGCAGGTTGATAGATTTCTGTATAGAGAACAACTTGATCATAACATATACTTTCTACAAACATAAAGACATCCACATGTACACTCGAGAGGTAAAGAGCAGAAATGAAAAATCAATCATCGATTATGTACTTGTTAACAGACAATATAGGAAGGAAATTTTAGATGTAAAGGTCAAAAGAAGCCCCGAGATCTTCAGCGACCATTATCTACTGTCTTCAAAGATTAGGATTCAAACAAGCACACAAAAAAGTAGCCAATCAATGCAGAAGCACACTAAATCAAGGGAAGTTATTAAATCCTGCAGGTTACTAGAAAAGAACATCGCAGAGGCCTATCGAGAGGTAACTGAGAAACAAATGGACGACCTATCACAGAAAAATATAGGCGTTGAAGAAACTTGGCAAACGTTTGAAAAGATATGTCTAAATTCGGCTAGAAGTACATGCGGAGCTACCATAGTTAACAGAAATAAAAAACAAAAAAGATGGTGGAACGAGGATATAAAAATCGCAATTAATGATAAAAAGAAAAAATGGCTTAATTATTTAACGAAAAAGACTGAAGAAAGTTATGAAAAGTATAAAACACAAAGAACAAAGGTAAAGGAAATCGTAGTGCAAGCCAAAAATAAGTCATGGGAAGAATTTGGGAGAAAAATGGAGGAAGACAGACACGGAAATCAAAAAATATTCTACAAAGCCTTGAAAAGCCTGAAAAGCGATAAGCAGCATAGTTTAAAACAAGTCGAAACAAGTAATAATAGTATAGTTACAGAAGATACCCAAATTATGGAAAGATGGAAAGAATATTTCACAAATCTGCTGAATATCAAGTATGATGTTGGTACAGAAGATAGTGAAGATGTAATATTTGATGACACCACAGACGAAATAAGTATTGAAGAAGTAACTGAAGCTATCAAAAACAGCAATAAAGGAAAATCAGCTGGCCACGACATGATAACAGCAGAAATGCTGAAGGGATTAGGCAATTTCGGAATCCAATGCTTGACAACGATATTCAATCGAGTATGGAATGAGGGTGGGGCGCCGAAAGATTGGAGGACGGGAATTGTGTTACCGATACATAAGAGAGGAGATTATAGAGATTGTGGAAACTATAGAGGAATCACGTTGCTTAGTATCGCTACCAAGGCCTATGAAAGAATCCTAGAGAAAAGATTAAGAAGTACAGTGGGACCAGATTTGGAGGAAGCACAGTGCGGATTTAGGAAAGGTAGAAGCGCACAGGATCATGTATTCACGATTAACCAAATGATCCAAAAGACTAGAACGATGAACACCGAAGCATACATGGCCTTTCTAGATCTGGAAAAAGCATTTGACAGGATACCACTGAAGGTAGTGTGGGACAGTTTGGAAGAAAGAAATATATGCGCTTAACTATTATGTAAGAAAGAAAACCATGGTATCACAACCTTTTAAAATAAGAGACGGCTTACGACAGGGAGGCGTTTTAAGTCCTACACTTTTTATAATTATCGTCGACGACATCATAAAAGCAATAAAATACAAACTCAAAAAAGTGAAAATTGGTCATTACAAACTGGAAATGGTTAGCCTGTCAGAATGTGCATTTTCCAATGATCTCATGATCTGTGCCGAACGGGAAAAAGACCTGCACACTAATCTAGAACTTTGGAACGCCGAATTAGAAATAAGAAATCTGATAATTAATGTAGCCAAATCTAAAGCAATGGTAATCGGAAAAAATGTCAAGGAAATAAAAATCAAAATTAATAACAATGAACTGGAACAGCTAAATGTCTATAAATATCTTGGAGTTATGATACAACGTGAAGGCAGTATGGAAGCTGAACTAAATGAAATAATTAATAAAGCAGTAAAGACATATCATACAATGAGCAAAGCCTTCCTTAGAAACAAGAACATTAGTAGGAAATCCAAGATGATTGTTTACAAGACCGTATTTAGGCCAACATTAATTTATGGTAGCGAAGGTTGGGTGCTAACCGATAGATTAAAGAGCAAGATTCAGGCAGTAGATATGAAATTTTTAACGAAAGTCAAAGAAATAACTAGACGAGACAAAATGAAATGAAATGTTATCATTACTATATAGTAAGGGCAGAACTGGTAGTAGAACTAATCTTGCATAGAGCTGAAGTACAACAATTAAGATGGTTTGGACACCTGAACCGCATGAAGGAAAGTAGACCAGCTAAACGGATGTGGGAAGCAAGAGTTCAAAGAAAAGGAATACGAGGACGTCCGAGAAATAAATGGAACGATAAGGTGGTAGTGGCACTGGCACATAGGGGACTAAACTGGAAAGATGCAGTGAAGCTAACAAAAAAAAGCAGTGCGCTGCAATGATATATTCAAAACAACTTTAAACGATAATTATATAACAAATGCTTAGATATTTAAATATTTTAAAACCTATTTCTTATGCCTATATCATTTTTTGTGTAACGAAGTCACTTCTAGAGAAATAATTTTTTTCTAGTAGAGCCCTAGCCTTGTGTAGCTTACTTTATCTTTGAGAATGAAACAGAATTACAGTCCAACTGTCTTCGTGCTTGCAGCTTGCACCAAACAGCATGAAAGATTCATTAACCGGGCCAT